ATATTACTATTGGGGACAGCACGTTTTCTAAGTAGAAATATCGTAATTACCGAAGAGGGTGTGATGGTTTTCAGGGTCTACAGGTGTTCGCACCTTGGAAGAAAACTCAACATTGCAAGTTACGATTGAAGAAGTACATAATTGTATGATAAATAGATGTAGTCCACGAACACTCTGATGCAGAATATAAATATCGAAGTACCTCCCAAGCTTTAGACATCATCAAGCAATGGAGAAGAGACCTTAACAATATAATATTATTTTTACGATTCTACCCTACTTTACCTATTTTACTTCACTCCTAGTAGTCATAAACCAAACGAGTAAAGTCTGAGCCTTCCTAGACAATCTCCATCTACAGAAACGAATATCGATTGGCCTAGACAACCTTGAAGTCTATCAAGTTGTCTCCGCCTAACCTCGATAGACCTTGCCGGAGGTCACCCAGAAGATTATGCTCCAGAATGGAAAAAGGTCACGGAGGGATGAACCCGCTACTTTTGTCTGTATGTGACCTGAGATGGAGAAAATGCTATTTGAGGTATTTGTAGTATGAAGCGAGCAAGGCAAGCCTGTTTGCGATAGGTGGTTCAGGAGAAATGCAAAGGAATTCTGGAAAGTCACGTATCATGGGCTTCTGTCACAGCAGCAATTATTCGTCTTCTCCCAGAGCTGGTTTCATGGCTTCCTTTCATGTCACAGAATAGTACTCCAGTTCTTTACAAATACGGCACAATCACTTCCAGAAAACTATGAGGAGGAAATCTTGCAATGGCTAAGATTTAGCCAACGGAATCGGATACTTACTCCACTTGTACCCTATTCTCTGGAACCCTCTCCTCTCTCATTACACTATATTTGTAACGACAATTAGGGTGGCATCCCAGAATACAGGATCTGCAATGTTGATGAGACGCCGCTATCTTGGGAGTACTTAATTGGCTGGACCTACCATATCAAGGGTGCAAAAACCATTTGGTCAAAGAGTGCCCAGTCTGGCAGTAAAAAGCGTCAATGTACTCTATTTCTGTACATCTTTGCAGATGGTGTTCCCCGGGTTCCACCTATTCTCATATTTACAGCAACTACTAGTACCAAGATACGGAAAAAAGAAGGTTACCTGTAGGATAAACGTGTTCATGTTGAATTTTCACCAACTGGATGGATGAATGAGAAACTATTTATGAAGTTTATCCTTCAGTTTCTTGTACCTCTCTTTGGAAAAGAGCAATCTCTTTTTGTCTTTGATTGATACCGAACACATTTATCTCCTCCAGTTATTCAAACCTGCTGTGATAATAATATCATCCCCTCTCTAATTCCCGCTAGCACTACACCTATGACACAACCTCTCGATATTTCGATTAATAAGCCTTTTAAAGGCTTAGTAAAAGAGTTCACCGAGGAACTCTGGGAACAGAAAGAAAAAACAGAGGAAATTGACAAATAGAGTGTTGGCCAATATCGGATTGTCACAACTGAGGCTGTGGGCAGAGCTTGGGATGAATGGCTTCAGTGTGATTCAAGGCAGAAAATTGTTATTCAAATCTTTCGCGATATGGGAATTTCATTACCGGTCGATAGCTCCTGTGATCGGGAGTCAAAGATCAAAGGATTCACACCGGAGCAATTGGTAATAGGAGATTGAGCCCGCTCAGAGGCTGAAATGGACTATGGAACAGCTGAGGTGGAAAATAGGAAACTTCTTCAAACCGAGAATCACCAAGTAGAATTTCAGCTACAGGATGAATAGTTTCTCTTGATATGTTATTTCCTTTTTTTTCTCTGAATATAGTATAGCTCAATGTTGATCATATACGCAACCGGCTTGGCAACGGCCTCTATTTGGCCAGATTCTACGGTAGTCACGCCATTACGATTGACATATGAAGACTTGAAGGAGGTAGCTCCGGGTTTGTACAAGTAGCTTGCATAGGTTTCCGAAACTAGCAATTTTCGGAGCGAGTACTATTTTTTCTTTTTATCTATAAGAGATGCTTTACAGATTCTGGGCACTTGGACTGAATTTACGAGCCCCTCCACCTAATACTGGTGGAGATTGTGACGAGCCATCACTCCATCTTCTTGTGCCTGGAGTGGTGGAGTCAGGATCCTTAGGTTCTCTCAGTCATGACAACCTTACCGGTATCGCCAGTATATTTAGGCGACAGACGATAAGTTATGCCCGGGAAATAGTCTCTGGGACTCCGAATAGGGTAGCTAAACTATGTCTGTTGTTCTTGTTGCCTGCCATTGCTCACGAGGCGACATGCGAGGCAGAGCGAAGATACCTTTCCCTCACTAACTTGCCTTGTCATTCTGGTGCTTGAGAGACCGTCATTGCGCTTATTATTAATGTTTTAAATGAACAGGCTTCGTTGTAGTGAAACGCTATGGTTACCACAAGATTTTATGCAAGCTTCCAGGTATTCGGGTTAGAGAGCACTGGCAGAGATAGGAGTGTATCATACGATGCTGTCAGAGCGCTTTAATGTTTTACGCATTGTTTTTTTTCTCTTTTTTTCTTTTCACACTCTCTCATGCGGATGAATATCCAGATGGTCAAAGATCAAGCAATGCATGGTGTGTGGTTTGCCGGTGAGTAAGGTGTACAGTACTTGGATAGGTTGGGGTTATGATACGCTCAAGTTACCGGGCGGCTTGATGTAGGAAGTACCTTTGGGTGATGAGCCATGATCCGAGCTGGGAAGAGTAAATGGACAGCCGGAGTGTCGACTGCCATGTACTGTACCTTGGTACAGGTCTGGGAAGAACAGAAGACTAACCTATTAGTTTGATCAAGATTACCGGGGATCCGCGAGTACAAGTACTCGAGCATCTTTGGGTTAGATTAATCTGTTATCTCGAACCTCCGATATTCTGACCCATTGTATAGAGTACAGTAGTATATTAATAGCCTATATGACTACCACCGTAAAATGCTACCCTTCTCGACCTCCCCAGTCCTACCAGCCAAGACGCAAGGCGGGGGGGTTAGCTTATCAGAATCCTTCCTATTAGGAACTAAAGTAAGGAATGTGCGTGCGTATACCCGGCCAGATATGATACGCGCATCCAAACTAGGCTTCCCGAACCCTCTCCACCGCCGGAAATCACGGAAACGCGAACTGCCCGGCTGTACTCAGGTAAAGGGAGAGACAGGAAGAGGGTCGACTGCGATTGCATTGTCATACCCCCTCCCCTCGCCCATTTCCGGATTCCTGGTTAGATAGAGGTGGAAGCGCGTCCGCCGGACGCGGGTATGCCGGCAGGCAGACAAGAGATTCGTATCCTAACGGTAACCCGGGTCCGCGTTGGAAGAGATTCACACGACACACTCCCCTCGTCTCGGGTATTCTCGGCGGTTGGAGTGGTGGCAATCACGTTACCTTACCGGTACTTATACTTTGTTTGACTGTTGATCGTTATTGGGGTGTGTCTGTGTTACCGGTCGTTTGAGTCGTGCTGGGGCTGAGTCGAGGCATTTATACTCGAGTGCTCTCACAATCCAACCCAACGACGGCAACCTTTCCCACCCCCCGGCATGCCCACGATATCCTTGACCAGTACAATAGTTGTCCAGCGGGGAGTACCGGTACGGTACCGTATTATCTCGAATAAGACAATTGTCTTAGGACGTCTGAGTTTCCTAATTTTGACTGGAGGGGAGAAAATGCCAGCAGAATTGGACGCCCTGAGACAATTCTCTCTTGTTCTGCAACGTAGGGAATTAGTCCTGGAAAAAGGGTAGCACCTTTATCGTGCTTCTTGTTATCATAGTTTTATATAGCTCGTCATGCTGGTGCTGGTATTGTACTCTCTGGCACACTCCACGGTTTGTTGTTGTTGGTGGAGGCTTAAAACTTGAACAGCTCCCAACATCGCACACCAAGGTACCGGTACTAAATGAGATAAAAAAATAGATCTTAACTATTCCCGGTATTGGTTAATTAGTTGGGAAAGCTACTGTACTCGTACAGTACTCGAGTATCATACAGTTCGGAGGATTTGAGCCAGCGGAAACGGAGGATAAAGTTGTGTTCCCTGGGGCCCCTGCAACTCTTGACGCACTGCACAGCAAAACCATAGGGCGGGATGGGGCTATCGAAGCTCCGTTGGCCCTGTTCTATGCCACCCACGAGACATTGTGAAGCTGGTTCAGGGTTTAGGGATACGATAGGCACTTTTGCTGTGTGGGGAAGGGGGTTATTGAGTTATTATTGTTCTGATTATGGTATGCACGGTGATTTTTTACTATTGAATTTGCAGAAGCAACTCGTCGGTCTCTGTTTGCGATGTATGGGTTTTTCGGAATCGGTGACATCTTGATGTGCGATATGAGGTGCGGGCTTTCGATCCATAGTTCACCACAAATCAACACATGTGTTGATTCGAGTTGGCTTATTAAGCAGGCGATCGTTTTCCCCTAGCATTACCGAATTGTGTCTTGGCTTCCTGATTTGGAGGCACAATGCCAAGATATTACTTGCTGCATTTGGTCTGGTTCCTGTTTTATGGGCTAGCTCTCCAACACATCTAAAATCAGCCTAGCCCCTGCTCAAGCGAACGCATTCGAAACTCCATCGGTAGGTCTTTGGGAAGCGGTAAATCGAATATATTTACAGAATATCTTGAGTCGGTGATATATCGTGCTAGGTTGGTTGAGATAAATTTATGATTTGTTGTGAGCGGGACCACACAGAATTACGAGTGGAGATGAGAGGCAGCGGCTAAAAGTTACATCTAATAAGGTGACGGTTTACGAGCGAGGCTCATTACGCGTGTATCCCTCGTACCCTCACCCGTACTCGTACTGTCTTATATCTCGTGATGGGCCTACTCCGAGAAATTAAGCCCATCCAAACGGCTGCCGAGGTTAAATTGCTTCTCGAGTCCTTCATGTCTTCATGTCCTCTGCGGTAACAGTCTGCCCTTTGATGATATGGTTAGGCTCAGCTTCACAGCCACGATGTGTCCCAATACGGCTCTGTACGTACTGTGCTCGTACAGTACTGTCCAAAGTAGGGGGAAATGAATTCGGACCACTGGACTCGGCCTGCTCGTTTCTGTTTAGGAGACGGATATAATAGATGCGCTGGGTATATATTGTGTTAAAGAACTGTGTGCTTTCCAACCTTCAACCGGTTCAGTACCCCCAGCTGCAGATCGGTATTGATTCATCCATTCATGTACTGGACTAATCAGGTATTACACTCCTATCCTCCCCGCTTCTGTGAGAGAAGGTAACCTGTTGGAGAGAGCTTACGACATGTGTATTTGAGCAGACCTTTTACCTTTGTTGAGCACATTAATCGTTTCGACCGTAGTGGATGGACGGACCAAACTGGATTATTGTACCTTTCGCTTCCTAACCCTCGCTTGCTTGCTTTCTTAACTCTTATTTTCATAATTTCAACCTTTAACACTTCAAACATCTGTACGGGCCACTGATCCTAATCGGTTATTAATCACCAACCAGTAAACGTCTGACCTGCCATACGAAGCCTTCCTCGCAACCCGCTGAGTTCTCGCCTCACGAACAGGATGAGTCTCAGCCCGCAAGCCCGCAACCCGAGTAATCAGCATCAGGACGACTCTTCGGGTCAGGTACGAAGCTCAAACATACTTCGGACATGCTCACTCGATCGTTAGAGGTTCAAAGCTAACTCAAGACCGGGAGTGTGTAGGGAGAGCGACACTCGGCGAGAAATCCTGCGTGCGACCTTTGTCGTGAAAAGAAGGTATGTCACCACTAACCAACCCCTCCTGTGCACCCCTGCTGCACACCCCGCACTACGCCGGAGGAATACTCTACGGATAGGGGAAGCTTATTGGAGAACCGTGAGGGTAAAGGTACGATGCGGCCGCGAAAAACCCACCTGCCAGAACTGCCGATCGTGGAGAACAGCTTGCACGTATTCCGAGCGACAGAAACGCGATAATGAGGCTTCCCGCACGTTGAGTTTCTCCCGGTTTTCACTATGTGCACATAGAGGGACACCCCGGAGCTAACTGGGCTTATGAAAACAGTGCGCACCGCTTCGAAGAGGTGCACGACCGCCTTGACCGTATAGAAACCACAATGGCGCGACTAGTCGCCGCACTCGAGTCCACAAACTTGGCCTCTACCCCTCCGCCAGCGTTCAATTCAAAGACTATTGTCTCGAGCAGCCGCACTCAATCACAATGCGGTCCCGGAACACCACAGACGCCACAGTCAAATAGCGGTAGTCTACTGGCTACGACGTACAAGATACCCGTACGGCGAGAGATGCAGTACCTCGGCCCTTCATCCCTCATGACACTATCCTCGGAAGCGGGGTCCCTAGCGGAGGAGCAGTTGCGGCTTAGTTCGCCGCCGCATCCGAGCAGCGAGGCAGGTAGCGGCGTGTGCCATCGACGGGGGACAAGCGACTCTACGAGGGTGAGTGTGGATGGGGATATTGGGGCTTCGGTGGAGAGTATGTTATCACGGCCGGAGCAGGCAGAGACTGTGGGCGCACTGAGGAAGCTGAGCAATATATCTACCAATGTCGCAACCTGGTTTCCCTACTACGGGCACAGGGAATTGAGAGCTGGGGCTGGGGGAGCGAACATGGGGATTCCCCCCAGGAAGATTGCGGAGGACCTGGTTGCCGGTATCACCTTGCCCAACCTCCTATCGGGGAATTTCCTGGCTAATTGGATATGGTAGAATACTTCAAGACCGTTCACGCCTGGTTCCCACTATTCGAGCAAACACGATTTGAAGAAGACATGAAACGATTCTATGAAGGGGATAAAAAGCTTAGTGAAGATCGTGCGTGGCTGGTCTGCTTCAACAATGTGATGCTGTTTGGGATGTATGATAAGTGCACTGGGCGGAAGGATATTGATACGAGTATGGGACAAAATTTCTTCCTCAATGCATGGGCAGCGATAGACGACTTAGAGGTTTTCATGGCGCCAAGATTGCGGAATGTGCAGGCTCTTACAACTGGGGTGAGTACGGTCCCGCGTTCGTCTATACGCATCGATGGTAACCCATCTCAGGCTGTGGTTGCAGTAGAAATATCCCGCCCGGGTCTCTGTTGGTCGTTAATGTCCGGCGCTGCAAGGCTCGCAACAGCAATCGGCTTGCACCGCCGCCCTCCGTCGCCGTGTCCCTTCTCCAAACTAGAGTTGGAAGAGCGGAAGGCGATTTTCTGGAACGTGTACATCCTAGACAAATGCCTATCCTTAACGTTCGGGCGATCGACGTGCCTTCCAGACTTTGACTGTGATACCGAGATGCCCGAAGGTGATGGGAAAGCCGTGTACTTTCTAAATTTTATCGCCTTGATAAAGCTAGCAAAGATCCAAAGCAACATATACATGCGATTATACTCCGCGGCGGCAACGCGACAGGAGACTGCGGAGAAGGAGAAGGCGATATTGGAATTAGATTCGGAACTGCGCGACTGGTGGACGCAATCCCGGGCGGTGTTCGACACTGCCGGAAACCCAGACGCGGCGGTAAACCAGGGCGCGCCGGCGGCGCCACTAGCTGTCTTCTCGAAGCTAGAGTTAAAATTCAGCTACCTCTGCAGCCTCACCCTCGTCCATCGCATGGCGCGCCCGGACATGGCGATCTGGGCCGAAAGCGATAACCTCTGTCTGGAGAGTGCGAGAGACAGCATCCGCATCATAAACGAGGTTGTGGAATGCAATCTCGACGTTGCCAACAGCGGAATAATAATCTGGTACCCCCCCCTTCCCGCCTTCCCCTTTCGGCCGCCGTCCACCCTAATCTCTAACTATTGTGCTAGGCTCTTCCAGTATTACCCCTTCACATCCTTCTTCATCCTCTTCTCTGCCGTGATTCGCAATCCCACCGCCGTGACATCGAAAACCGTCGACTTCCAATTGATGAGGAACCTCGTCTCGTACCTCTCCCGCATGCAGGAAAAGTCGGAAGGCGCGGCAAAGTTGTTGCAGATAGCTTCAGCATTTACTCACGTGGCTGGGACTTTTCTAAAGAACTACGGAAAGTTAGAGCTTGCGCGGGAACACGCAGGAAAGCGGAAACGCACCTCTGCAGAGGAAGATATCCTTAGCGTCTCGTCTCCACACCACCACCACCACGGTGCGGGGGAAGAAGCCTGGCTAGAGCCCGGCGGTTGTGACAACAGCGCCTTCCGCAATGGTTTCGGAAAAGGCATCTACAGCACGACGGCCTTCCCAGCGGACTCTATCGAGCAAGTATTCCCCACTCCACCACCTCCACCCCCACCCATGCATTCACACTCCCGTTCGCACTCAAACTCAAACACCGAATCTCTACCGTTGGGTTTGGATGATTTACCAGAGGTGGACCTCCACGCCGCAAACTTCCTCCGCTGGCCCGCAACCGATGGGATGAGCTACGAACCTCCCACCGCCGCTGCGGCATCGTATCTAGACCATGCGTTCTCTTCCGCGCCGGAGAGTGGTGCTGCACCCGCTGCACCCGACTTGAGCCTCGAAGCGCTCATGGCGGAGCCCGAAGGGTTTCAGTTGCAGATGGAGCAGGCTGCTATGAGGGGTCCGCTGGACTTTGACTGGTTTAGTTGGGATGGGCAATTTGATTGAATTTTTTTTCTCCTCTTGGTCGTTTTTGGGGGGGATTGGGTTGATAATAGGTGGGTTGTAGGTTATTCCGGCTGGTTCGGGGCAAGTGGGTTCGGAGGCCGGAGGCCGGACACGGACTTGGCGGTCGGGTGTGATGCACACGCATTATGTATGCACAGCCAATGGGGAGAAGTCTTGGCGAAACTGCGTTTCTCTTTCACGGAGATTCCGGACAGTGATGGCCGAAGAGGGGGGGGTATTGAGATCTGTGTGTGGGAGGAGGGCCCGTTTAAGGACCACAGAAAAACCCCATTCATTTCACAAAGACTTTTGCCGAGTGAGTGCTTCAATGTATTTGAGTACATTTTGGTGGATGATGATGTGGTGTCTCTACTCGGCGCACGTGCAGGTACCGTGTACCCCCCAGATTAGTTTTACTCCGTCCTCTTCTAGTAGCGTTGTGCCTACTCCGGTTTCGTCCGGGGATGGGGAATATATGCTTTTGGCATTCCTCTCTTCGTTTCTGTTATTATACTCGGATGTGTATTATAAGCGCACGATTTGTGGCATTGAAGTTTGTATCAGCCCGGCACACTTCTCCCTCGGTACTATCTAGATCTGCCGCTCGTCACATAGCTGGGCCGGGGCACCGAACAAGTCTGGCGATCTGCTACCCGGTTTCGGAAATCCTGGCTGGCACTGTACGAGTACTCGTACATTTATGTGAGTTATGTAATGTGCTGTACTAGTACGGCAGCTGAAGTCCGTGAAGCGCATTTCATGCAGTGTGATGCGCTGCGATCGCGGTAGAATAACATAAACCGGAGCTTTGGTTCGCGGCCCGGACTTCCACTTTTGTGCAGGTATGTAATACTGGCTTTACTTGTTTTTATAATACCAGGATCGCAAGCACTCTTCCCCCCCCCCACCATGGATTTGGGGTGATATTATTTTGCTGGGACTGGCCGACCGAGCCACCCCCTACACTACGTAAAGCGGAAATGCGAAGAAAACTTTTGATTCACTATAAAACCAAGAGGTGTAAGGTATGGAAGTAGCTCGACCTGGGGGGGGGGGTGGAAATCTGCAAATTTCTGTGATCCAGAAGTGCACGCTGACTTGTGAGATCATCTTGATATTGTAATTATATTAAAAATTTTTCTTGGTGGTCGACTGGGATGTGGTTTGTTTGTGCGAACGGAGTCCACGTACAAATTGGTTTACTTTTGATTCTTGACGGGCTTTCTGGGAGAGATGGGCGGTGGTGGATTGGCAGACCACAGAGGATTGTTTACTGGGTTCGGGACAGGTTTACTGGGGGGCTGCTTAGTTAGATGGGTGAAGTTGTCTGCTTTTTCTTGGTGCACTAGGGGTGGATGCAGAGTGGGTTGTGTTATGAATGATATATGGGGCGGTGTTGGAAGTATTGTGCTGAAAAATCTTCGGGAGTGATATAAAGTTGAGCGATGCACTGGGCTCCTTCCCGGCCATCCAGTCGGAGGCCGGCGTGCCCTAGTCGCACCCCCAGCGCCCTTAGAACGCGGGAGGGACTTATGGCCTCGAGAGGTATCATACCACTGTAGCTACTTGGCAAGTTACGATGGTCCTTTGATGTTCACGACAGGGTGTTTTTTTCGCGCTAGAAGCGTGGCGCTCGTGAAATAATGTCCATCTCCCGGCACCCTTCCAACCATGTGGGGGCTAGCAGGGGGAGGGGTCCTTGATTCGACACGAAATGAATAAGCAGTAGGTGGTTTTCGCCGTGAACGGCGAGAAGGTGGACGGGAATTCAAATCCTTCGTTATTGGATGTGCACCCCTGGCTCCCGACAGCCTCTGTTGTATATTGCAATTTGTTAGTTCTGGTTCGTCGCATGCTGGTATGGTATCCCTTGGCTTCCTATGCACCTTCGCCGGCGTCCAGTTGGTTCCCGGTAGATTATTGTTTCACCGGTCTCTTCAGATTCACTTCTTCGCTCCTTATACCTATTACCTTTTTTTCTTTTTCTTTTCCCGAAGCTAAAAACCAATTGAGAAGCCCCCACGGCTCCTCTCCCTCTGCCGAACATTGCTACAAAATGAACTGCGATCATGAGATATGGCTCGGTCCCCCCGGGCTTCGTCCCACCACCAAGACTCCGGCGCTTAGAGGCGTAGCCTGACTAATTCTATGGAAATTGGCGCTGAAGGGGATCGATTTCTTTCATTCGCTGGACCCCCATCTCTTAATTGGGGTCTTACCAGGTTTACAGGATGCCCCTCACGTTGAATGGATTATAGATGTATTGGTTGTTAGGAATTTGAGCCAAATCCGATGGTCTAGGTCTTCTCCAAGGGCTCTACCGAGTGCTCTCTCTGGGTATCGCGTACGGGCCAGTGCTGGCCATGGGCCGGGCCTTAGTGGGCCTCGGCCTGCAAAAGCTCACAGGCTTACTAGTGGCGCGTGGGGGCCCACGGGGGTATTTTTTTTTTTAGTATTTTTTGTGCAGTACTAGGAGTAAGTGCTTAGGATAAGACATAATGACTCGCGGTATAGTGGTATGTATCATAGCATGAAAATTGTGTTTCGTAAATTTATTCTCACAAATAGTGGCTGGCATGCTACAATCCCATCTTACTCTAAATATTTATTTCTTTTCCTATATTTTATTTCGCTGAAAACTCAATTGCTGGCACATTCACAGTCCGTCAATTTACCGCCAGGGTCCGGAAAATTAGGTGAACTCTGACATCAAGATGAGCAATTGACACAATACCTTGCCCTTGGAGCCTCGGGACTTCTATGGTTCTGGACCAGCAGGAACTTCTTTAAAATGACATGAAAGGATGTTGCCAGCCCAGAGTCGGGATCGAGAACTTACGGTTATGAAATATGGTATCGGTAGGCTGGACTTAACCTAGCTGTTTTACAAAATTAGGGCTTCTGGAAAGTTCACTGGCACGCGGGCCTCCGTGGGCCGGACCAGGGCATAGGCCTGGCCCACGGCAAGCACTGCACAAAAGTTAATATCTAATTTTAGACAATCAGACAGCGACATTACAAGGTTTCCCCATATTATCCATTCCGCCGCTGAAATATGCTGCACTAAGCAGGAATTTCCAAGCCACACCAAATCCATCTCACACCAACTCCATCACGGTTTCTTATTGGCTGAAATTGTCCCAAACAATACCCTATGCACACTAGCATGTTTTTGTCAAGAATCCCACCGGCTACTGAATTTTGGCAAGAGAGTATAAGGAAACCTCGAGATTCTAATTCAAAATTCAGTAGCCGGCCTTACCTGAGGGAAGAGGTACAAGTACTCCGCTCGCTGGGTTGAAGTTGAACACTTTGTATGAGAATTATCATCTGACACTTGCATTTGAAAAGTTCTTGTAACCACACTGGTATCTTCTTGTATCTGTGGCAGTTTCTTAGCTGTCGTCCACATACAATGCGAGCCACAACTACAAGAAGATACCACGGTGGTTATGTGAACTTTTCAAATGCGAATGCATGTGTCCAACTTCAACTTAGTAGTAGAAGTAGAAAATTAATATTAGAATGGCAAGCTTGATAAATGGTAGTGAAAATTAGTGCAACAAGTGCTACTTGTAAAGAAAGCAACATCTGTAACGTGTTCGCAAGGTGCTAATCACGTTATCGGTAAAGATACCATAGTTGGCAGGTGGCCTGCTCTTCCAGAGAGGAGGCGAAAGCTGAGAACTAAAGGAGGCTTCGAGGGTGTACTGAGGAATAAAGAAGTAACCGTTCAACCAAGTATATTGAAATACTGTCTGTCGAAGTCTGCCCTTTCTATCATAGAAACAGGCGGTCTTTAAATACACAAATCTGTTCATGTCTTAACATGAACGAAACTAATGAAAGGTATCAATCGATACACTTTGGTAAAACTCCTTAAGTATCAAAGCGATACTTAAAACAAAACATAAAACAAAACCAAGTATCAAACAATACTTAAAACAAACCAAGTATCAAAGCGATACTTAAAACAAAACAGAAAACAAAACCAAGTATCAAACGATACTTAAAACAAACCAAGTATTAAAGCGATACTTAAAACAAAACATAAAACAAAACCAGGTATCAAACGATACTTAAAACAAACCAAGTATCAAAGCGATACTTAAAACAAAACATAAAACAAAACCCATAACCGAGTCCCCGTACCGGTTACATTCCCCAAAACAAAACAACTGTTTAAAACAAACAAAACCTAATAATCATCAAAAGCGGAGTCTGAGAAACTAAGGGCTTCAGTTTCCTCTAAAAACTCTTCATCGTAAGTGTCACACCAGGGACAAGAGGAAACTCTAAGGAAACACTTAGACTCGAAGAAGTGTAAATCATAGCAGTCACGAATACCAGATTCGTGCTGTACATCAACCCAAGCATGATCACAATCAGGACAATAGTCAATCCAGAGGATTTCGAAATAGTCTTCAAGTTGGATAGCATCGTGGTTCAACAACAGTCCAACAATCTGTTGTCGCTGCCTCACATTGAGCTCCACATAGTTTGACATCGTTATGGTATTCGGATGGTGATTGGTGGCTAGATAAAGTTGTCGAGGGCCTGCTCCATAGCTTGATTCTCCTCATCGCTGCTTTCGAACTCCGACTCAAAGTATGGTACCCAAAATCCATCTCTAGCTTCAGGTTCTGCGTGCCATTGCTCAGTTTCTGGCATTGTAGGTGTCCAGCACATGGTGATATAATTGATTGTTGGGGGGAGGGATTCGTTGGGCATGTTATCTTTCCACCACCCGTTCACCATATCCATAGCGTGCTCTAGTCCTTCCAGTGGTTCCCAACTGTTTTCGCTCGTCAGATATCCTTTCCATTTGACTTGGAACTGATCATTTCCATGCCAAAGGTGGTGGTCTCTGATTTCTTCAACTTCCCATTCATCTTTCTTTACAATGATGATAGGTGCGGGTCGAGAGTGGGTTCTTCCAGGGAACTTGGAGTCGTCATTTAGGTGGAACCGTTTGACAGCAGAGGCGTGAAAGACTGCAGTATTGCGGCGGTACATGCGTCCATCCATCTGGACAGTGTAGTTCTCTGTATGCTCGTCAAAGGATATGACTTTGAAGGGTCCACACCATCGGGGTTGCAG